CGAACCCTCGGGCGGGAGCACCGCCAGGCCGGCCCCGGTATTAATTCTTCTTTAAAGGTTTGATAGAATTCAGCTGTAAAGCCATCCAGTCCTGGGCTTTTCTTTGTTGGAAGATTTCTGATTACTGCTTCAGTCTCATTGCTTGTTATTGTCCTGTTCAGGTTCTGTATTTCTTCTTGGTTCAGTCTTGGTAGTTTGTACGTGTCCAGAAATTTATCCATTTCATCCAGAACATACATTGGGGAAAAATTGCCTCTTCAATAAATGGTGCTGGGAAAATTGGACATCCATATACAGAAAAATGACACTGGACCTATACCTCTCACCATATACCAAAATGACAGACTTAAATAGAAGACCTGAAACTATAAAATTACAAAAGAAAAACAAAGGAGAGACACTCCAGGAAGTAGGACTGCACAAAGACTTTATGAATAAGACCCCCAAAGTACAAGCAACAAAAGAAAAAATAAATAAATGGGATTATATCAAACTAAAAAGCTTCTGCACAGCAAAGGAAACAATCAACAGAATGGAAAGACAACTTACGTAACGGGAGAAAATATTTGCAAACTATATATCCAATGAGGGAATAATATCCAGAATATACAAAGAACTCAAACAACTACACAGTAAAAAAAAAAAAATCCCATTTTAAAAAATGGGCAAAGGAGATGAATAGACATTTTTCAAAGGAAGACTTACAAATGGTCAACAGGTACACAAAAAATGCCCAGCATCACTAATCATCGGGGAAATGCAAATCAAAAATACATTGAGATATCACCTCACCCAAGTTAGACTGGCCATTATTAAAAAGACCAAGAATAACAAATGCTGGCAATTATATGGGGAAAGGGGAACTCTTCTATGCTGTTGGTAAGACTGTAAACTAACAAAGCCATTATAGAAAACAGTATGGAGGTTCCTCAAACTACAGATAGAATTACCATATGATCCAGCAATTCCACTACTGGGTATATACCCAAAGGAATGGAAATCATCATGTCGAAGGGACACTTGCACTTCCCATGTTTACTGCAGTTCTATTTACAATAGTCAAAATACGGAACCAATCTAAGAGTCCATTGACAGACAGCTAGATAAGGAAAATGTGGTATATACACACAATGGAATACTACTCAGCCATAAAAAAGAATGAAATACTGCCATTTGCAGCAACATGGATGAGTCTGGAGAAAATTATCTTAAGTGAAATAAATCAGACAATGAAAGAGAAATACCACATGTTCTCACTCATAACTGACTGCTAGAAGAAAGGAAGGGAATGAGGGAGGGAGGAAGGGAGGAATGAAGGAAAGAAAGAAAGAAAAGACCATAACAATTAGTTGAACTTTCAGAAAGAGAGAATAAACCTAAGGATACTAGAAATTGAGAGGAGGGAGGGAGGGAATTTGGGAAGTGATAGGTCAGGTAAAGGGCATAAAGAAATATCACAATTTGTAAGAAAGAATATGTTAATAAATAGTAAAAATGAAAAAAAAAAAAAAAACTTTGGCAGTTTTTTAGAAGTGTAGTCACAAAACAGTCCTGAAAACTAGCAAGGCTGAAAATCAACAGAATACTTACATCCTTTTGTGTTACTTCACCATAGTTTTTTCCACATCTCCACTTCAGCGTTCTAGAGCCTACTGGATTAGCCCACGTATAAAACACTGCTTTTCCAGGAGGGAGGGAATCTTCTATTTCACCGAGAGAACTGACATAAGACATAAGTAGCAAAAATATGAATTACACTAAATGCCATTACATGAATATATAAAAAATCCAAAATAATACTTCATTAATTCTTAGTCCATCAACTGAAATCTGTGATAGTTCTGATTAAGACTAGACTGAAGTTTTTTCCTTATACAATGAAAAAAGGTTCTCTGAAAAAAAGAGAATATTTCAAGGGAAACATATGTCCCACTAAGGAAATAAATGTCTTCAGATCTTTGAAACTACTTCATCAATTTTTGTTTTAATACAAATTAATTATGGAAAAATTATGCCAATTATCTTACGTATGCTAAATCTAAGAGAACTGGTATCCCTTTCTAATGTATTGGTCTTACTTCAGCAAAAACAATGTGGCTCAATTACTTTTCAAAATCACTATACATGGGATACAAATCTAAGATATACAATCAACTCACAAAAAGATTCTCAGAAAGAAAAACATTACAGAGGTTATAAATCAAAGAAATAATAAAATATAGCTTTGCTGAACAGAACAAGGAGCTTAAACTACATATAACAAGACTTCACTGGGTATCTCACAGTATTTATAACAGAATATCATCCTAGATGTATCTTTGTAAAATGTTTAAATTTTAAGAAAATAGAAGGGCAAAAAAATCTCTCTAAACATAGGAAAATCATAGTTACTCACAAAGAAATTAATATGATGCTATAATACTTTTCTAAAATACTGAATGTCAAAAAACAATGGTGCAATGTCTATACAATTTTGAAAAAAAAGGTCATCATTCAAAATTTTATGTTAAACTGTCATTAATGTGTAAGAATAAGACATTTCAAATAAGCAATAGCACAACAAATTATACACAAACACTTACTGAAAAAAAACCTCAGACTTTTTCCAGCCAAGCCAGAGGTGACTCAAAACATTTTAAGAACTGGGACACAGACATACTGAAGGACTGGTGGTAAACAACTAAACCAGTTAAAGTCAATTTTTGGTTAATATGCTATAAATCAATACAAATGCCAAAAAGAGTCTTGAATAAAATAATGCATATTTTGAAAAACTAACCATTTTATATTAATCTTGGTCAAAATCCCAAATTATATATATAATAAACTATGAATTTAAAAAGAGAGGTTGAAGAAAATATAAAAGCATTCCAAGTTTTTCATGGTTAAGTTAGCAGATACAGTTTCACTCTCAAAATTGATTTAAAATGAATGAAAACCTTCAAAAAGAAAAATCTAGAACAAAAACAGGATGTGTATTTTCTAAAAACTCATTTCTGGAATAATCCATACTACAAAACAAATGACAAGGAATCATAAATTAGTTATTACGATGATTACAAATGGGTTAAAAATCCTTACTAAAAGATAAACAGATTCTAACACTACAAAATCAGAAACAACCAAAATTCCCAACAATAGAGGAATATTTAACTATAGCGCATCTAAATGATAGAATATCATGCATTCATTAAAAATTGTGTTTTGAAGCAAATTTATATGCTCACATGGAAATGAGAGAGATAAAAGAAGGAAGGAGAAGGAAGGAGAAAGAAGGAGAAAGAAAAACGGAAGGAACAAAGGATAGAAAAAAAGAAAAAGATAAAGAAAGAGTGTAAAAAGAAATTCGTCAAAATGTTAACAGTACATGCCTTGGATTGAGTTTCCCCCCCAAACCCATTGTGACAGTGTTAAGAGGGTGGAAAAACCTATTATGATAATTGAAAGGTGGGCCTTGAAGAGGTGATTAGATTGCAGGACCACACTGTAATGAATGGATTAAAAAGGGTGGTCATTGGCATGGTTCAGAGGGCTTTAAAAAGAGAGTGAATGAGGAGATTAGTCTCTCTTTCTCTCTCCTCCACTGTTTTTACAATGTGATACTCTGCCATCACTGTCGCCACCACCAGATGTATTCCTTGGACTTTGGACTTCCTGCCCTCCAAAACTGTAAGCAATAAATTTTGTTTTCTTACAAATTACCCAATTCTGTGTTACAAGCAACAGAAAGGAACTAATACAGTACAGTATTGAGATTACAAGGATTATGGTTCTCTTTTCACATTTTTCCCTACAGAATTAAAAAAATTATTTTTATATGCAGGAAATAACTAACATCCACATTTTTTAAAAATCCAAGGGAAGGGAAGGCAGAGGAAAAAAACTCCCATATTCCTAATATTTTTGTGGAAAAAAAAAATCAAACATCAATGTATTGATTAGCAGATAAATTTGGTTTAAAGATATTTAGAAATACTTTTAATTAATGTAAATTTTAATCTGCTTATTCACGTCAGAATATTCCTTATGCCAAAAATTTACTGGGCTATCATCAAACATCAATGTATTGATTAGCAGATAAATTTGTTTAAAGATATTTAGAAATACTTTTAATTAATATAAATTTTAATCTGCTTATTCACGTCAGAATATTCCTTATGCCAAAAATTTACTGGGCTATCTTTGATAAGCAATGGGAATTCAAAGAAAAAGAAAGCTAACCATAGTTCTTTGAATATTAACTATGTATGTGTATGTGTACATGTTTTAAACTCAAAAGAATTCTAGCCTGAGTAATTAGGCAAGAGAAAAATATAAAGGGCATCTAAATTGGAAAGGAGTAAGTCAAACTGTCCCTGTTTGCAGACAATATGATCCCATATACATATAGGAAACCCTAAAAGCTCCACCAAAAGTCCCTTACAACTGATAAACAAATTTAGTAAATTTACAAGATACTAAATCAACATCCAAAAATCAGTAGCATTTCTATATATCAACAACGAGCAAGATGAAAAAGAAATCAAGAAAGCATTCCCATTTATCATAGCTACAAAAACAAAAGAAAAGAAAAAACACCTAGGAATTAATTTAACCAAGGAGGTAAAAGATCTCTATACGGAAAACTATAAAACAATGATGAAACAAAGAAATGGAAAGACATCCATGTTTATGAATTGGAATAATTAATTTTCTGAAAATGACCAAACTACCAAAAGTGACCTACAAATTCAATGCAATCTTTATCAAAATGCCAACAACATTCTTCACAAACAATCCTAAAGTTCGTATGGAACCACGAAAGACCCCAAACTGCCAAAGCAATCCTGAGCTGAAAGAATTAAGTGGGGGAGGCATCACATTATCTGACTTCAGAACATCCTACAAAGCTATGGAACTAAAACAGCATGGTACTAGTATAAAAACATACACAGACCAAAGGAACAGAATAGAGAACCCGGAAATAAAGCCAAAAGAACTTCAACAGAGGCACCAAGAGTATTTATTAGGAGAAGGACAGTCTCTCCAATAAATGGTGGGAAAACTGGACATCTATATACAGAAAACTAAAACAAGACCCCTATTTCTCACCAAATACAAAAATCAACTCAAAATAGATTAAAGACTTAAATGTAAGACCCAAAACCATGAAACTACTAGAATAAAACAGGGAAATCCTTCAGGACACAGTAATGAACAAAGCAAAAAAGCATAGGCAACAAAAGCAAAAACAGACAAATGGGATTATATCAAATTAAATAGCTTTGTGCAGCAAAAGAAAGAGAGTGAACAGACAACCTACAGAATGGGAGAAAAAAATTGCAAACTATGCATCAAACAAGGGATTAATATCCAGAATATACAAGGAACTAAACTCAACAGCAAAAACAAAACAAAACTTTGGTCAAAAAATGGGCAAATGACCTGAACAGACAATTCTCAAAGGGAAGTCATACAAATGGCCTACAGATATATGCTCAACATCACTAATCATCAGGGAAATGCAAATCAAAACCACAATGAGATATCATCTCAGTCTAGTTATAATGGCTACTATCAAAAAGAAAATAACAAATGCTAGCGAGGATATGGAGAAAGGCAAACTCATACACTGTTAGAGGGAATGTAAATTAGCATAGCTATTATGGAAAACAGTATGGAGGTTCCTCAAAAAACTAATAATAGGACTACCATATGACCTAGCAATCCCACTATTAGTTATATATCCAAAGGAAAAGAAATTAGTGTATCAAAAAGATATTTGCACTCCCATATTTACTGTAGCACTATTCACAATAGCCAAGATATGCAATCAACCCAAATGTCCATTAACAGATGAATGGATAAAGAAAACGTGGCATATATACACAATGGAATACTATTCAGCCATAAAAATGAATGAAATCATGTCATTTGTGGCAACATGAATGAGCTTGTAGGACATGATGTTAAGTGAAGTAGGCCAAGAACAGAGAGAGAAATACCACTCATACGTAGAAACTAAGAAAGCTGATCACACAGTAAGGGGCAGAATGGCAGTCACCAGAGGCTTGAAAGGGTAGGAAGGAGGAGGGATAGTGAGAGGTTGGTTAATGGATACAAAAGTATAGCTACATAGGAGGAATAATATTTAGTTTTATAGCACTGTAGGGTGACTGTAATTAATAATAATATATCATATAGTTTCAATTAGCTAGAAGAGAAGATTTTGAATGTTCCCAACACAAAGAAATGATAATTGTTTGAAGAAATGATAAATGTTTGAAGTAATGGGAAAAAAAAAAAAATCAGTGGTTGCCAGTGTTTCAGGAGAGGAGGGAGGGAAGGAGAAATAATAGGTGGAGCACAGAGGATTTTTTAGGGCAGTGAAACTATTCTGTATAATACTGTAGTGGTGAATATATGACATTATGCATTTGGCAAAACCCAAAGAAGTATACAACATAAAGAGAGAACCTAACTATATAATTGAGTTAATAATAATATATCAATATAGGCTCATAATTGTAACAAATGTACCACACTAATGTAACATGTTAATAAGAGAAAATGTGTATGGGGGGTGGGTATGAAAACTATCTGGACTTTTTGCTCAGTTTCTCTGTAAATCTAAAACTGCTATAAAAATAAAGTCTATTAAAAAATACTACTATAAAGCTATAGCAAAAACAGCATGATACTTGCTAGCATAGAGAATAGAATGGTGGTTGTCTATAAAAGAAGAATGGTGGTTCTTTCTAGAAGTAGAGAGTAGAGAGTTCTCTCTATAGAGGTGGAGAGTAAAATGGTCATTCTCTATAGAAGTAGAGATTAGAGTTCTCTCTATAGAAGTAGAAAGTAGAATGGTGGTTCCCTACAGAAGTAGAGAGTAGAGTGTTCTCTATAGAAGTAGAGAGCAGAAAGGTAGTCCTCAGAGGCTGGGAAGGATAGGCAGAGGAGGAATAGCAAGAGGTTGGTTAAGAGACATAAAATCACAGCTAGATAGGAGGAAGATCTAGTGCTCCAGAGCACCACAGGGTGACTACATAAGTAACAACAATTTATTGGATATTTTCAATTAGCTTCAGAGAGGATTTTGAATATTCTCAATACAAAAAAAATGATAAATGTTTAAGGTGATGGATATGTTAATTGACCGTATTTGATCATTACACATTGTCTACACTGATCAAAATATCACAGTGCCCCATAAATATGTACAATTATTGTGTCAATTAAACTTTTCTTTAAAAACTAACATAAAAATGATAACATAATGTGACAAATGCTATAATCTATGTATGCAAAGGTGCTACGGAAAACTGGATTTACAGATTAAGGTGGTGCTATGGTTTGAATGTGCCTCCAAACTCATGTTGGAGCTTAATCCCCAATATAGTATTTGAAAGACTGGGCCTTTAAGAGATGATTGGATCATAAGGACTATGCCCTCATGAATGGGTTAATCTATTCATGAATTAATAGATTAATGATTTAATGGGTTATCAGGGAGTAGACTGGGAGGAGGAGGAGGAGGAGAAAGGAGAAAGAAGGAAAAAAGAAAGAAGAAAGAAAGAGGAAGGAGGAAGGAAAGAAGGAAGGAAGGAAGGGGGAGGGAGGGAGGGAGGAGGAAG